CACGAAACAAACAGCGTAAAATGAAACGATAGACGTTTTTATATCGTCATCCGATATATATCGAACAGCCCTACAGAGTAGTATCACAAACAACCACTGTTGTGGGGTCAAGCTGTGTCTTCATGTTAAGCATATCTCAACTGCTATAGGGTGAAAGGCACGGTACACCCTAAACAGGTCGCCAGTCTACCGCAGAGAGACAGGCAATCATTCATGCTCACATTTCCACCTACAGACAATTTAGAATCACCAGTTATGCTATCATGCACTCATGAATGTCTTTGACCTGTGGGATGAAGCCGGAATACCCAGTCTCCACACAGAAAACCCCCAGCCAACTGGGGGATTCAAACCAACTCGGAAGTTGCTAACAAATTTGTGAAATTACATACACTTCATTAGCAGGGACAACATCCACAATTAGTCTAACAACACATCTTTAAAAGAGAAGCGAAATAAGCTTTGATTTTAGGCCTGAATCAACGAGAGGCACAAAAATGACAAGAAACATTATCATCACACCTTAGCTGAGGTGTGGTCGCACTTCTGACATTTAGACAAAAAACAAAAACAAAACCCAATATCAGCTGGGCTCTGCTTTCTAGGATAAGAGTGTTATGTCTTTTATAAAGGGCAAAACCTTCATATTCAGCTTTTGTAACTAAAAACAAAACAAAATTTTTTTCTAGGATCTTAATAGAATTTTATTCTTTGGGTCAAAACATTTTACTTTTGAGTTTCACCGCATACTAATGTTACCATCACCTCACAAGGTGTAGTATTGTACTTAAATGAAAAACCAAAGATACTGCTGCATCATTGCGCACATTTAGAAAAGCCATCCATTGGAAATACATGGATCACTCGGTGGGCTGGTTCCCCTGGCTGCATGTATGACACTCCTATTCTAGAGTGCACTAGTGCCAAAAAAATTAACCAGATAAGCATAATGTTAACATACTGTCACACACTGGGTTAATATAGACAGTCACTTTATTAGGTAAAACTGAAAATATCTAATCAGCCAACAACTTGGCAGCAACTCACTGCACTTAGGCCATGGTCAACAGGACCTGCTAAAGTTGAAACAATGCATCAGACAGGAAAAAAGGTGATTTCAATTACTTTGAATGTTATATGGTTGTATTTCAGAAACTGCTGATTTACTACCATTTTCCCCACACAGCCATCTCTAGGTTTCACAGAGAATGGTCCGGAAAAGACAAAACATCCAGTGAGCCCCAGTTCTCTGGATGAAAATGCCTTGTTGTTGCCAGAGGTCAGAGTAGGAAAGTCGAGCATAAATAACTCATAATGAGGTCTCTGAATGCACATCACACCAAATCCTGAAGGAGATGGACTACAGCAGCAGCACCAGCAGCAGAATTGGAAAACAAAAGTCTGATTATTTCCATGAATAATTAAAAGTTCTTAAGGCATAACGAGAGTCCAACTCGGTCCTAGCAACGTGTACTTAGCCAAGTGACCCGTGTGTGTGTGTGTGTACATGAATCCATAAAACAAGAGGAGCCGCTGATAAGCAGACATCACGAAGACACCTGCTGCTGACTGAAATATGAACATTTAGGACTTGTGCGTTTGCTAGAACACATTGTTCTCCTAACTGTGCATGACATCAGAAAGGGTGATTTTAGTTTTAAACCCTAACAAGATGGCAGAAAGTACGAGCAGACTGCAGCTAACACTCCGGCTCATGACATGCACATGGTTAGCCACTTGCTCTTAGCTGAAGTATTCAGCCTAATTTGTAGCAACGGGAGCTGTTACGAGAGGGGGCAGAGGGTCAAACACTTGATGCGTGCGAGTGTTGGAGGAAGCACGGGATAAGCTAGCAACAGTGATATCGAGTACACCGCACCGAGATGCTCAGAGTACAAAAAAAAAAAACTTGATGTAACGGCTGAAAGGGCACCGACACGAACCGCTGAAGTTTCTGGAAAACTGAGCCACATTGGAAAGCGTCCAAACACGGAGAAATATTTTAAGGTGATGGTGCCTTGTGATAGGAACGACAGGGAACAGCGGGAGAAGTGTTTGGAGAAAGAGCGGATTATTATTTGTTTCTCTCTGCGGGATGGAGACAACCCAGGCGCTGCGCCACGCATCGCTCACATTCTCCGGTAAAAACTGAACACATTAAACAACAACAACCGGGGCCAAAATGACCCCCGCTGGAGCCCCCAACCGCCTAACTCCACCCAAGACTGAGTTAAGATACGTTCACCGTCCCTCTCGGGGCCGCAGACCGGCAGTGAATGTCTCACCATTAAAACTTTGGCAGCGCTTTCCAGCTGTGTGATCACTTCTGGTGCACCGACCGCCGCCATCATCGTCCCTCTCCAATGACGCGCCATGCGCTCTGCATTGTGGGATTACTGCGCTGGTTACCCGTCGCGTGCACACGGCGGGTTATGTAACCACAACAAGTTTGTGGTTGCCACTGTGACGGCTCGTGCAGCCAGCAACATATTCAGTTATTATTATTATTATTATTATTATTATTATTATTATCATTATTACTGGTGTTGTTGTTGTTGTTGGGAATGGATTAGAAGTAGATACATCCACAATCGACCTGAAAATGAATGTTATTCATGGATATTTTTTTAAAATTTAAATCAACATTTGTTTAAACGTACACACGTATACTTATAAGTTACTAATAAGTTTTTTGTTCTTTACTATTGCAATAACGGTTGCATTTCTGTCATATTTCTGATCCATTTAATAGCAGATTTTTCAGAATAACCTAAAGATTATGCTATATTATGGCTATATCAGTGACAGTATTGTGTAGATTATACAATTAATACTAAAATGTCACTTATATTCCACTTATGCTGTAGTCTTCACTATGCCAAAGGTATCAAACTGGCCCATTGTAAGGCTTAGCAAAGTGAAGTCATTACTCTACTTTATTAATACAATGCATTGCTGTTCACTTCACGGGTGGGAATTGTATTTCTTGACAGAAATCAGAAAGATGTAAAATACAGTCATTGTTGGTTCCGGGTTTTTTTTGCCTCTCCCCTCTGATCTATAATCTGCCTGTAATGACAGTATACTCGAAGGACGTGAATAATTTCACTAGTCTGGCCCACTTGAGATCAAATTCGCCCATATGTGGCCATGAAGCTAAATACTCCTGTTCTTTGTAACAACAAACTGTAAGAAG